ATGATTGAATATCTCGCAGGAACGACCCGTCGCCCGTATTTTGATTTCGTTTTACGATCGGCCTCGTCTCGCGTATCCCTACCGAATCCACGTTTGTATGTGCGCGTACGTCGATTCCGTCGAAACGTTCCGCGCTGTTTTATTTGAAAAACGGATCAAAATGATATGTGCGAACGTCGAGTGTCCCTTTTATATGCGGACCGGGTAACCGCCGAGGGAGACGGATAATTCGGTCCTTGTGTCTATTAGTCCGGACAACTATCCGTGGGATTCGTAATCTAGTTTCTAGTTTACCTTCGATCGAAGCCACGATCCGCGGTCGTGAAGGCGCCGGGTACATAGGTAACCGGCGAGTTGCAGTTGCGGCAAAGTTCGAAATGCCATCTGTTCTGCGGGCCGTCATTGCATATAGACACGTAGTGATGGAGTAGAATTCGGAATTTCGTTGAAAATCCCTCTCATACATTAGTACGACGGTCGCGTTCTCTATTTTTAATCCTACAATTTCCGGGGGATGATCACGCGCTAATTTCAACGTATGTACGCGTCGGGCATTTTTTTTTTCTCTCTCTCTCTCGAATTATGACCTCGTGTCGAAAGAACGGTGCGATTGTTGCGTTATGAAGTTTGATTAAAATCACGTTAATTGCGGGGGTGGTGAGGGGGGGGGGGCATTAACGGGAACAGCCGCGAATCGTGAGACAAAGTAGAACGCTAAATAGTCTCGTCGCGTCTACGTTAAGTGATTAGAAACAGAGAGAAGGTTCAGCGAACAAAGCACACGTTTCACGCCGAGAAAGCCGCAACGGCGAAACTTTGCTGCATGTTACGCGTGGTAAATTGCCTTCATAACCCGGTACAATGCGCCATTATCTAGTTTACAATGGATACGACTGAAGTTTCTGATTTCATTTACCAGTTTTCGCCGAGGGTAGCTGGTTATGTTTCGTCTTCGAATCGCTCCATCGTCTGCAGATATTTAAACTTCGTAACCGCCGAGAGTCGTTCCATTTGGCTCGCAAAAAATATTGTTTCCCTTCTTATAATGGGTACCAGGCCGCGGCGTCGGCATTAAAGAGTAATATTCCGATAGACAGTAGTTAGCGTGAGTTACATTTTTCGCGATACCGGCAGATGTAATCGTTTGTTTCATGTCTTGAAAGGATTGGTATATTTAGTAATAATACGTTTGCGATATACGTATATGCATTCTATATACAGGGTGTCCCAAAAAAAGTTAGAGCCGAAAAGGATTTTCTCTAATTTTGTCTCTTCCAGTATTACACATGCTTTGAAATCTAAATTTCTATCTTATATGCTTTTCTTGTACCTTTCCCAGTTTCTCTCTCTTTCTCTCTCTTTTCATTCCTAGTTACCGGGAGATGCATAATCGTAGAAACGGAGCGGCGTAATTATCGACCGGGCGGGACATTTTTCCGTCACGCGTACGAATCCGGAAATCGAATGAATCGTCTCTCTCCACGGTCATCGTCCCTCGGACCTTCCAACGCATAACGATAGTCAATTCAATTTGAATCGCGGCCAAGCTCGACAGGACAGTTAATTTCGCACGAATGACGTCCCGGTTTTGTGAATTTGCACCGCGATTCATTCAACCGGATCGTATAGATTGTTCAACCCGGCTCTTCCCGCGTTTTCCCCGCGTTTATAGGAAATCGGTGCAGTCGATCGACCCGTGAGTTCCACGCGAATAAAACTCTGCCTAACGACGCGGGGACAAACGAGGCTCCTCGGACCCGCCGCTCCGACAAGTGCCAAATTCTTCTGTTTTTCCCACCGTTTCTGGTGGTCACCGCTTCCGCGCTCGCCTCTGTTTCTCCTCGTCTCGCTTGTTCGCGACGCGCGCGTTGATTCATAGTCGCTGTCGTTTGAGGACAGAGCTGCGGGACATCGATCTAAAAGAATGGCTCGTTCCTTCCTCCCCCGCGCTGGCTAATTCCGTTAATAAAGCGCCGCGTAGATACACTCGTCCCTGTCCGACGAATTTATTTCGCGCCGCGCCGGTCTAAATAACTCGAAACCGAGAATCTTGCAATTAACGGTATTTCGGCTGGCTCGATGATGGATCGGGTTATGGTTACGCTATAACGAAATCAATGTAACGCTTCGACAGGCATCGCATACGAATAGCTCTCGCGGATATCGACAGTTCCGTCATTGTAATGAGAAGAGTTCGTTTGGATAGAGAAGTGCGCGCCGTCGCCCCGCGGTCGCGTCGGTCTGCTCCCGATAACTATTTGAATTTATAATGATCGGTAGTAGTATTTCAAAGAGTTGTCATTCAGGTGGTATTCAGAGGTAAGCCGCAGATTGAAGAGACTAAAGGAGCTGAATTAATCAATAGACGTTGCGACGTGCGCCGACCGACGGGGCTGCGGGGGAGGCGGCCCGGAATAAAATGTCAGACGTAAAATCACGTCGGTTGAAACTTCCGCGCTGTTTACCGGCTTCCCAAAAACGGAGGACAATGGGATTATTCCTGCTGCGGTAAATGCTTTATTCTCGCTCATCCCCGTGCGGTGATATCCTCGTCAGGATGCGCGTTCGGATAATAAACGAAGACGAATCGCTCCGGGTAATGGAAGAATCAAATAAAGCAGCTGTCACTTCGCGGATTCAAGATTGAACCGCTTATTAACCGGCTCATCCTGAATTATGCCGTTGAAGATGATTATAGATCGATGGGATATCTGTTCTTTTTTTATTTACAAAGGGTTTACGGTTAGATTTAAACGGGATCGTGATAGGTGGAAAGGTGCGAGCCGGGTGCTATCCCGGGAGAAATATTAAGAAATTTGTTCCGGGCGACGTTGCTTTTTTTTCCCATGGTCCATATCACGTTCGCTGTTATGAATTGCTTACCGCGCCGGGGTAAGAATGGGTGTAGTACGCCGAGTTGCTATTCCGGTGATTATCATGATTATAGAGATACGTTTATGGTCGTTTGCCAAGAGAAATGGTAGCACCAGCGGAGGAAAATGATGCGCCGCGGGTTCTTATTGCGGGAAACTATGGTAATCCGGCAAAGTGTGAAAAGTTCCGCGAACGATTATTCAGAGGTGGCGGGAGGAAAGTCGTTTGCTGATGCTCTATGGAGATTAGATCGGGGAGTAAAATTCTTTTAGCTAATTAGCGATACCTTGCGAGGTTGCACCCTTTCAGACGGATAATCCTCTGTGCATCGAGAATCAAACGGGATTAAGTATGAGTCTTTACATAGAAACAATGACTGAAATTTTAATAGATGTTAGACGTAGCATGCTTCATCGCGGCTACGTCCGCATTAATTATTAGACTGCAGACTTTATGCATTTATACAAAAGGTTATGAATAGAAAATTCATTCAGTGCTCAGTGACACAAAATATCAAATGAGAAATGGATATGATTTTTAAAGTAAAAGAGAAATTCTCATGTAGGTTCGATTTTCTGTATTGGTATTACGAATGGTTTATTTCGTTTAACGATTCAAAATTTATAGAATCGTTATCACGTTTTTTAAACTTTTGATAAAACTCGTAGAACCTTAATAGGAGTGTTATATAAAATTAGTCGATTCTATTAATTTTTCAAAGTCACGATTTAATTAATTAATGGGAAACTCGATTTGCTACCATATCGTTAATTTGAGTGACACTCTGAGATAAATCCTAATAAACGTAATTGAAGGTATATCGACAGATCGCGTGAAAGCGGGCGGCGCATGAAATTAAGCATGAAACCCATGCGAGAGATAGGTTTCTATTAATTTCGGTTCAGGATTTCTAAGTATTTACGCACGGTCCTTTTGTAGCCGGTGTTCGCATTGTCACGGTTGGCAGTTCGCGCGGAGTGGCCAACCATGGCGTTACCACGGTTGAATAGCGAGCAGGGATCGAGCGATCTCGCACGCTCGATGGAGTCGCATAAATTAGAAGCGTTAATATGCGTTAGGGCAATATCATCCTGGTTATTCCCCAAGGGAATATCGAAGCCGGCTCTTGTTCGAGCACGGCGGGTATTCTGTTTCTCGTCGTATCGCGATTTTCCCGAAATTTGATTCATCGAATCCCTAAAACTCGTTAATTACACTCAATGCAAATAGAAACAATTAACGAAAGCTTGCGGTATAATTCAATTATCGGTTCCCAGTGCATTTGCCCATTTTTCCTAACCGTCCCCAGATTTTCCGAACGCAAACTGATATCTGTAAATAATCGAATATCCAGTTTATTAATGACGTGAGATAACGAATTCGTAATATCGCAAATCTCGCGGAACGAAGTATTAGATATGTGGCGCGCGTGTGTACGGCGTGATCGATACGAGGTAAACTTATTACGTCCCGTTGGAGACGGCCTTAACGAGTTAACGACGGTCCGCGTTCACCTCGTCCATTCGGCGCAATCGATTCACCGGTAGTCGCATTACCGTGGGAAGAAAAATAATTTACGGATTAATGTGTATGCATAATAAAAGCGGTGTCACCGGCGGATTTTGATTACGGCGGTCTCGGTCTCGGCGCGCGCCGCCGATTGGCCGAGCGGCAAGCGGCGACGGCGGTGATTGGCCGCCGCGCGGAGGTGCGTTCGATAGCCCGGCTCGAACCCCCAGTACCCGGCAGAGCCTCGAACGGGAAACTGCTTCGTTTACGTGTCGCTACTTTCGAAGCTCCGAAGCTCGTCCGGCGGACCGCGTGCCAACTTGACTGTTCGCCTGCCGACGACGTCCTCTCACCCTTTACGAGTCGCGATAACTACGTTCTCACGCGGAACAACGCGGACTCGTTCGATAGATTGGTTTCGTTTAAAACCGAGAGAACCCGCGAGTCTCGCGACTTATTCTTTTTCCTCGCCTGATTCCGGAGTCAAGTCGAACGCGGCGCGGTACCGCGAGCCTCTCGACCGCCGCCGGGTGTCGTTACGTGCTTTTATTGTGACTGAACCCTTTTGTGTTCCGCGAGACCCTCGTTTATCCAGTGCCCTTTTGTTGCTTTTTGAGGATTTTTCATCTGCATCCTGCGGGACCGGACTGGTACGTTGGGGGATCGTCATTTCTGGTGAGTCTTTAATTAAACACTTCCTGCTTCTTACACCCATTAAGCGTTCGTCATTTAACGAGCGTATCGCTCGCTCGCTTCAAATAATTCGTGAACGAGTAATAAATTGAATAAAAAAAAAAGGTTCCTTTGTTGCGTACGCCGCGAATTGCGTCGCGTCATCACAACATTCGGAGTCGAAAGCGCTGGTCATTGAAAAACGTAGTACATCGACCTTTGATATCATTACAAGAAGCTTGTTACTGTAAGAGTAAACACGAAGGTCGAATGTTCCGCGTACCTATCTTGCCTAGCCAGTTATATAATGTACGCGTTCACCGAGAGGCAAATATACATTCGCCGAAAATCGGTCGAGGTTTCGGTACGATTTAAAATCCGGCGCTCAAAGAAACCCGTAAATATTTGCTAACGTCGAAAGCGTTTCACTCGAGACGTTACTCGGCGTCGCCGTTTCCCCGTTGACATTTGTCATGCCTCCGTCCAATATTTGACTTTTCGCGGCTACCGTGATCCCACCTACGAAGCTTTTTCGATTGAATTCGCACGATCAAATTCGTTACCCCTGCGTAATTAAATAAAGAGGTAGCTAATCATGGTTTCAAATTGTATAAAGAAGAATAAATCGAAGTACAATATTTTTATGACGGTCACATAAATGATTATTCTCTTGATTATATATTATAACAGATTAATTTAATCAATATAAGTTTGCTTGTATAAATGGTAAAATTATATACTTGCTAAATGCTGATTCGACAATATGCGAATTATAACGCATATAATTGCGCATAGAAACGAGTCTCAGAAGGAGAGGATACAAAAATACTCGTATAATTCGATAAATCAATGAATGCACATCAAAATTTAAATGCCCTGTCTTTAAATAAAAATCGTGACGAACTTCTCGGACAACCTAATATAAAATGTATTCTTATAAGAATCGCGGAAGGATTATTCTCCTGCTAACGTAGTTGATACTGTACGTATCGTTGGAAACGCGCTGGTTCGACTCGTAGAATATCGCACATTCCCTGCCGGTTCATCGAACCTTGCCCTCGTCTTGGGCTCGTACTACAACCATTCTACTATCCGTTTTCACCCGTTCGGTTCCCGTGATTCGAACCGTGTAGAGATCGGCGAGGGGCGAGGATTCTGCGAATTTCGGGGGAAAAATAAGTCACCGCGATAGCTGGCGAACCATCCGTCTCCCTTTCTCTCGCGAAGAGGAACACGCCTCGGCGAGGGTGGAAATCCTCTCGTCTACCCTCGCCGTTTATACATACTCCTGCACCCGGTGCACCCGGCGTCGTATAAATATTTACGTACACGCGACGACTTCTGCTACCCTCCGTGCGGCAAAAGGATTACCGCGGACGCCTTCGGAGGGCAAAAAAAAAAATTGGATCTCGCGAGGGTGTTATAAGAAGCTTGTAGCGGGTATCGATACTCTATAGGAATTGTCTTGCCGAAAAAATGTTCACGAAATCCCGGAGTTTTCACATAAATTGTACGGATAGGTACGTGCGTCGTATAATAAATCTATTTTCACATCTTCCGCGAGGGAAATCCGTAGATAAAAACGGTGTACGCCTGTCTTTCTCGCGTGTTTCGCCCCATCGCATTGCCACGGAATATTTATAGAATATTACTAGATCTGCAATATGTAGATAACCGCACGCCGATATTGGTTTTACGTTCGTGGATCCCCCGCGCACATGTATTTGTTTCGAATGCGGAGGTAGTCGCCGGGTATCGAGCGGCGCCGGTGGATATATAAATATGTAGCATCGGGCACGATCAACTTTTAAGAGCTCAACCGAGAGAGAAAAGACAGGGGGAGTAGGAGGAGAAGGACGAGGAGTAGGGTAAATTATTTTTTAACGAGACGAAAATTCTTTCGCAACGGATCCGGCATTGTTCCTGGTCGCGGGGAAGGCGGCGCGTGACGTTGGAAAATAAAAAAGCAAACACTGCCCCGGAGTGAAGCATTTTTCTTCTTTCCTTTTTACGAGCGTGCACGCTATCGCGGGCAGACTTGCACGCGAGAAAGACGAAAATCTTTTCTACTCCCCTGCCCGCCCCGATCGTATCTGCGCTCCGGCGGCGTTACGTGTGCGTGTCTGCTCTTTACGTTCCGGCGGAATCGCTGGAGAGACATTTTGCAAAAATTTGACGGAAAATTAAATGGGAGTGCGGCAGGTATAACTGCAGACGTTCGAAACAGAATCCACCGGAACGAGACTCGTTTCTTTTGCCGCGCGTGTCTCTCGGCAGTCGGTAGAATCCACTTTAATTCCCGAGCCCGTAACGGTGAACAATTAAGAGAGCAGAATTTTCTGTGCTCTTCGCGAAAGTTTATTATTCGCGGGAACGATATAACGGTAAAAGGGGAACGCGTTATTACGGAGGCGCCGGTTGGCCACGGGGGAACGGAAGGGGAATTACTTTGTAGTGGGCAGGCGTCCGGAAAAGCGGAATTCGTTAAAGTCCCTTTTCGTTGTGCAACAGGAAACTCGGATTACATCTTATTACACGTGAGAACCCTGTTGCCGTATTATCTTTCCCTTCGTATATCCGCGAGACGCGATAAATCGCGTGCTTCTGCATAATACGTGAGAAACCGAGGGGAGTTCACGTTCGCTCCTCCTTTTTTCTTCGTTTCTTTTTACGCGTGATTCGCGTGACCGTTTTATTCTTCACGAATTTACAATTCAAATCGTTTTAAATTCTCCGTGAACGAACGGTCGTCATAGGTTCCTACGGAAATTTTCATTCCGTTCGACGCGCGTCGCTTCGGTTTTGTATCGATTGACGATCGGCGACGGTGGAAAACGTGCAAAGGGTTCGGAACCGGCAGCGTAGCCCTCGAGGAGGCTACGAGAGGTGACTAGAGTGCTCCCTGAAGTGGCTCAAGCACCGGCGCGAACAGGACTCGAAGAACTTGCGGGGAACCTAATTCGAGGACGTACGTACCGATAGTAGAGACAAGGGCCTCATGCATATTCAGCGTATTTGTGGTCAGAACAGGCTGGTAACTCATTGTACCTACTGGAAAGCACCGGCGTTTGCCTTACCTTGACGCGAAGGGTAGGAACAGGGGGTATGGAAATTGGCGCGAGGGTTCGTTACTTGAAAGCCGGCGCGACAGGTGAAAGGGCTGTCCGTCTTGTGCCGCGACCCTCTTCCTCTCTCAGCGCACCTGCCCGATTTAATGACTTCGCTCTAAATTGAAATGGCCTTGGGGCTCGTTCACCAAGTAAACTCATTCACACACTTTAATTCAATTGTAAACCGCAGTATCGAAACTGGCTGCGTCCATCTCAAGCACTATTCAGCACGACGTTTATAAAGTACAATGCTAATCACTTGGATAGACTCCAATAGCTCATATTATTTTTTTGTAGGAAATTCAATGCAATATAAGTGAAATAGTACAGGTTTATTGTTTCCCTTATGGGGTTACAAGACACTAACTGGCTCTGACCGGTTAACTAATTAGCTCTTATAATTAACACGTTCCGTGCCAAGCCATTTTTGCCTGACTTGTCGTTCAGGCCATTTGATATTTTGATTAAAGATGCACCATTAAATGTAATTATTAATTATTGTATATATAACAATTAAATAAACTTATGTGTTTTGTTCTTTACTGCATCTTGTATAATGCTTCATTTTTTAGGTAGAAATATAGTTTACAGAATTATATTTGTAATAAAATATATGTTTTCAGCGCATTAAATAAATATGACTGCGTGTACCACCGGTGGTACACGTGGCCTGACGATCAAGTTTACCGTGTACCACCGGTGGTACACGTGGCACGGAACGTGTTAACTTACAATTATCTTCACTCACTACTCTTATATATTATCTTACAAAAGTAAAAATGATATCGCATAAACATTCGTAGTGACTTCACTTGCTGCAACGAACGTAATCTAGGATTACTACCTTTTGTATATACATTAAAGTAAAAGTTCGAATAGGGCGCGGTAATTAGGTAATTAGGCAATTAGGTACAAACGGTGTACGGCGCTGATAGCGAGATGTACATTACGGTCAGAGATATATAAGGCGTACGCAGGATGTACAAGGGGCTGGAGGAAGTGCTACCGAAGTACGCAGTCCCGATACACGCCGTTACGATATACGCAGCCATTGTTAACGAGTATTAAAATAAGGTGTAAGATTACGCATCCGAATTACACTACGTTCCGGATCTCCATCGATCCTTCGCTTTCCCGCGAAACATCACACTACCTTTTGTATAGTATAATGTCGATTGCCCCCCTCGACGGCGTCTCGCGAGCGCAGCATCTTGATTCTTCGTTTTTAAAGATATTGAGACGTTATCGTTTTATTACTTATATCCCTCCCCACCCGCGTACGCGTGAAGCTCAGGCTTTTATCTTCTCCCTGACTCGCGACTTCCACGGTATATCCTGACCTCTGACACAACTGGATATAACCGACTGTTTCTTTCAACGACGAACGCATGCGCCCGCTTCCCCCTAGCAGTTTCGAGTTAAGAACATGTTTATCTCGTTTGTAACTAATGGTATACGCGTCAACGAGAATTAAGCGCCCCCGCCGGAGAATGATTTCCACTTTATTGTGAAGGATACGCTTGTCAGCTAATGTTATGGCTAGCAGACGAGAACGAAAAACAGTAGTTGCCGCGTGAAAAATCGTAGTAAGGGTCGACCTGTTATTTTTATCGGACGGATTGAGGAAAGGGCGACGGAGTTTTCGAAGATCGGTGCTCGCTCGTCGGATGAAAGCTCGGCAGGATTTACATATCAATGGGAAATATTTATCGGCGACTCGTCCTCGGAGAAAGGAAAAGGGAAAGAGTGTACCGTCGCGAGTGAGAGTCTTGTTACAGCCGCGAGGATCCGAGCGAACATCTCTCGTTATTTTCAGGATCATTTCATATTTCAAAACGTTCCTCTCTTTGAAAAATAGTTCGACGGACCGTCTT